ATATACACACTGTATATTATCTGACTTCTTAATAAATAAAAAAACTACACAGTTGATAATTTTATGGCCAGAGCAGCAACTGAGCTGAAGTTTCTACAACTGCTTTGTGACCAGTCTGAATTTAAAGAAACAAAAACAGTCAACCTGAGGATATAAGAGAATCTGTCCAGAGGACCTGACTTAACTTTGTTAGATTCCTCTACCTGGATTATTGAGCATGCATCAGGATAGTCGGCCTTAGGATTTGATTGTTCTTATCGTGGGTTAGACCCACATTCACTCAGTGACCTGAACTTGTCGAAAATATTTATCAATTTGTAACTGTGTGGTAAATTTAAAAATTAGTACAAGGCACGTTGGCAAAAATCAAACGATTTCACAATGTATTCATTTAATTGAATGTATTTGTGCTGTTGTTCGGCATATTGAGTTCTCGAGGCTCAATGGGATTTACCTGTCTAAATAAAGGTTGAATGAATGAATATTGTTTTTATACTACTAGTGCATTTTTAGTTTAACGTGTTTCTTAATTTATATCTTTGATCTTATTACTGTTTTTCTTTTACATTTTATACTTATGTTTGATGTAACTTGGACCCTGTGAAGGCAGTACAACGTCTCAGTGGTTAGCACTGTTGCCTCACAGCAAGGAGGTCCTGGGTTCAATTCCCAGTTGGACATGTGTCCACGGTCTTTCCGTGTGGAGTTTGCATGTTCTTCTCGTGCTTACGTGGGTTTTCGCCGGGTACTTCAGTTTCCTCAAACAGACCGAAAACATGCATGTTAGGCTGCCTTCAGGTCTCCCTTGTAAAAGAGATCTGTGATCTCAATTTCGTTCCACCACATGCACCACATGTGGTGTGTATGACAAAGAACCTTGAATCCTTGAATTTAAAAACTTAACTGAAGGGCAAGATTCATTCATTCATATTCATTCATTCGTACTCATCTGCTCATGCAGATTCATGTTCGTGCTACTGTTGTTCGGCGTATTGTTATTAGTGCTTAGTGTATTCTTAGTTTATCGAATTTCTTAGTTAGGGTAATTATTAGTGTACTATTATTATTATTACTATTATTACGGTGTACACTATTAGTGCTTAGCATATTCTTAGTTTAGCTAATTTCTTAGTTAATATCTTAGATCTTACAGTTTTTCTTTACAATTTATACTTTTGTTGGATGTAACTGGGACCCTGTGTAGTTTCATTCCACCACATGAACCAGATGTGTTGAGAATGACAATAAAGAAACCTTATCCTGATATGTTTGCATTAGATGGAAGTAATAAATTGAACCTACCATTGGTGATTTCATGTTTGACAGTGCAGGCCTTCTCGTAGGTTTTCCCATCAGAGTCATCGCTGCTGTCAGATGAGTCTCCAGACATAACTTCAGCAAAAACAAGGCTTTCTACAAATTATAATGGACGTGGACGCCAACTGTCTTACAGTTACAATAGATTACGCTACAGGCTGGACAGCAACAATAAAAAATATATCTATTGTTGATTCATTGCGAAGAACACACGGATTATAGGATTGACAGGACAGCTGTGTTTTCGAGACAATGTTGCGTTAATCCCCACGCTTTTGACATTTTTCACATTATTTTTTCTCCTGTGATGATAGGCCAATATAAACCAGAGCTCAGATGTGTTGCTCACAAGCTGTTGCCTTTTGTTATAAAACCCTAGTGGAATAAATGAGAAAAGGTGCTGCCAGTGTCTCACTTGTTAGCGTTAGTGGCACCTTTAAAACGCTAATGTTAGCATTAGCTGCTCCACACACAGTACTCGTTTTTCATAAAGGTAGCTAATAGTTACTTGGTAAAAACGTAATTCTTACTTTTAAATGAAACGGTTGAGGCTAAAGCGCGAGGATGGTTAGTGTGTTAACACATACAGCGTTTATTAATTAACATATTAGCCAGTAGAAAAAAAATGTTGATCTAGCGAATCGCAGTAGCTGTCCGTCAAAGTTTGAACCATTAGCTACAACGCTAATGTGTTGTTAGCCATTTTAACTGGCTTCTTCTGGTGCGAGCAGCCAGGCAATGTTGGAAGAAGATAGATACTGTAGTTCCTGGTCTTCTTTGTGTCCATCAGAGTAAGATTAACGCTTCATTCATTTTGAAAAGATTTACGTCCCACTTTTAGATTTTGTTAGCCCTGAACAGCTAACACCAGGATGCTTTCGACACAACCTGGGCGACCATAGAAATAAACACTAGATACAGCATTGACCGCTATCGCCAATTGGCGCTGTGGAGCCGTAGGGCCGCCATCTTGGAACGGTCGACCGCTCCACTCAATGTAACCTGTTTAGCAGGAGCAATGAAGTATATATATATATATATATATATATATATATATATATATATATATACATAAATGGTAAATGGACTGTACTTACATAGCGCCTTTCTATTTAATCAAGATACTCCAAGCGCTTTACACTACAATCTGTGTCCTCATTTACCCATTCATACAGCACTGTACTAGATCTCTGCAAAGCTAATTGAACAAATCATTCTAAAGAGACAAATCAGTGCTTTATCACATTCATACACCGATGGGACACACATAGGAGGCAATGAGGGGTTCAGTGTTTTGCTCATGGACACTTCGGCATGTGACTGCTGGTGAGTTCGAACCCCCAACTCTTGCATTGGAGGACGACTGCTCTAACCACTCAGCCACAGCCGCCCCATATATATACATACATACATATATATATACACATACATATATATGCATATACATACATATATACATACAAAAAACAAACAAACTGCAGTATGACTTTTTATAATTGTTTATTGTTGTTGCTGTTGTCCATTGTTGTCATCTTTCTTTGTTGAAATCAGGTCTCTCTTGTAAATGAGTCCTCGAGGCTCAATGGGATTACCTGTCTAAATAAAAGTTGAATGAATGTATATATATATACATATACATACATATATACATATACATACATATATATACATATACATACACATATACATACACATATACATACATATATACATATATACTTTGTAAATAAATACATAAAATATCCATGGCTCTGGGCTGCCGCTTCCGATGGCTGAGGCTTGGCTTTGGCCATATCTGATGCAATGGCTGAGGCTGTGGATAATCACCTTAGTTCCATGCTCAGGCGATGATTAGGCCAAGCTTAGGCCTGAGGACAGCCACGACTGAGACCATGCATAATAAATAAATAAATACATAAAATATCCATGGCTCTGGGCTGTCGCTTCCAATGGCTGAGGCTTGGCTTTGGCCATAGCTGATGCAATGGCTGAGGCTGTCGATAACCAGTTTAGTTCCATGCTCAGACGAGGATTAGGCCAAGCTTAGGCCGGATAACAGTCGTCATTGAGACCATAACTCAAAAATGAATAAATAAATATGACTTACCGGTAAAAGTCCATGGCTTTGCGCTGTCGCTTCCAATGGCTGAGGCTTTGGCCTCAGAACTTACGTTTCATAAGTTACTAAGAAACACCTTAAATTAGTTTAAAAAAAACAACAACAAAAAACATGCTGAAATGGATTTGAAATGGATTAGCAATCTTAAATTAGCATAAGAATTCAGAAAGAACACATATTTGCTTAAATAGGTTTTAATTAAGCAGAAATTAACACAAAAATTAGCTAAAAACCTGAAATGAGTAAAAAACAGTAGCTAAAAATGTAAAAAGAAGTTTGAATTACAAGAAGGAAGTGGAGAGAGCACATTTTTGCTGAATTAGGCAGAAAAAATTGAAATTTGTCCAAAAAATGTGGAATTAACTGAAAAAAGCTAAAATTAACATAAAAAAAACCTGCTAAAAAATATCTGAAAAAGTAGAAAAAGCAGAAAATTGTTGAAATAAGCTGTAAAAAGTAGCATAAAAGGCTAAATACCTATTTAACAAAAACAAAGTTGCACCAAGTCATTTCACCGTTCTGAACGAAATGAAAGTTTTGAGATATAACAACATAAAAATTGTGGAACAAGAAAAATGAATCACAATGAAGCATTCACACAAAAATGAACCAAAATGCTCTAAATAGCAGAGACATAGGAATAAATACAGCATTTGGCATCACGACAGCATTCGTGTCTTTGATACGTCATAAATTTAAGGCTTTGTTCGTCCGAAAGGTCAGAGTGACGTATTTTCCGTTAACTAAACTGACTGACCTTTCGACAGTCAAAAAATGCGTATGGGTAAACTTCCCTTTCACTGTTTTCACGCTTCCGGGTTTTAAAGCGGATGTGGTGTTAAACAACTTCTGGTAGCTATAGCATTAGCATTAGACAGTGACAAAAATGGCTCAGTCTCGGCGCGGTTGCTTTTGTTCAGTTCCTGGTTGTTTTTGTGGGGCAAGAAAACAACCATATCTGTCCTACCATGCTTTTCACGTCTTACCCAGACCAAAGGAGACAGTGGATACAAGCAATCAGAAAAGATGATGGTCCCAACTAAAAAGTTACATGCACTGACTCACAAAATGTATTGATCTTCATGGAAATAATGTCAACAATAATACTAATGTCAATAAGCTCAATAATTGAAACAATCTTGCTAATCATATTTTATTTTGTGGTTTTACAGGTGCACTCCCAGCTGTCCTCATTCTGCTCAGTCCTGTGATGGTGGACTCTCACTCCTGCTTGGGTCACCATAATTAGGCAGTGTCTTACCTGAGAGAAGATTGCCTGACTGAACTAAAGGCTGGTGCCATTTTCAACTATTTTTATATGTGAATGTGAGGCCCATGTTTGTTTGTTTTGTAATTCTTAAATATTATTCATATTTATTTTTGTTTACTTAATTTCATATTTATATTCCAGGTTGAAGGCAGCAGTCCAGTCTCGTGTAGGTTCCGTTCCACTCATGTCTCGTGCATCACAGCTTGTAGGTGAATTTCTGCTCATGTGTTACCTTGAACCATCCTTTTGTCTTTTAGTTGACTGAACACTGGAAAGCCTCAGCCTTGGCTGAATATTTATTTTAAGAATCATTATTGCTTCCATTAGAATAGGATTTTAATTTAGTGTTAATAAAATGTATATTGTATCTTGGAACAGTCTCCTGCTTACTTGTAGACAAACCCAAGTGTCTTTTCTGTGTATAAATTATGTCCTTGGATGAAAGTCTTAAGGTGGTGTTGCAGTAAGTTTATAAAATAAAAATAACATCCATACCCAAGCTTGTTACATATTTTTCTAGTGTTATGTAATTAGTTATTTAAAGATTTTGAATTATTTTAAATGTTCTTCAATTAAAACACACTTGAGCAGCATACTGTACTGTTTTTTTTTTAATTTAATTTGTGGATTGATTCAGTTGTATTGAAAGGAAAACAAGTGTTATTTACAATATCTTGTAAAAACAAACAAAAAAACGTAACTATTTAACATTTTAACTGCACACTATAAATTGATAGTGGATTATAGATGTAGAGATATACCTGCGTCCCTGAATGTCATTTTGTAACATACTTTTATTTCTGTAACTGAGTAGTTCATTCTGTAAAGATGTTTTTGAAAAAGAAAACTCCTCTCCCCTGAATGACTGAGAAATCCCCCCCCCCCCCCCCCACACACACACACACACTTCAGAACCTGGGACAGTTTAAAGTGTGTTTTCAGCATCTCTAACTCTGGAAAGTGTCAAAAGAAGACTTTTATGGTTTGTAAGACAACCGAAGATCCAATAAATCTGAATAATATTGGAACACCCTTTCTGTGAACCCAAAAATGGACATTTGAGTTAACACAGATCACCCAGGATGTCCTGGTATCACCTTGTACCAACCTCCGACCAGTTTACCCTTCAACGATCGTAAATAACAGAAAGCCTTGTCCCTGTTCAAAGGAATTCCAGCGTTGACACTTGTATCCCCTTTCTGCATGCAGAAAATGGACAGACTTTTTATTCACATTCTAGTAGAACTAATACGGTTTTTCTGTAATGAAAGAATTGTTTACTGGGAATAACTAAATAACTGCCTTGTTGTTTCCCTTACAGCTGACAAGAACCTGTGTAGGCCAAAAGTTTACAAACTTGTTTTCTGTTTATAAGGTTGACAAAGTGTTTGTATTGTTTTTAACCTCATTTAAAGTTTATAAGTGTCTTAAATGATTATTTGATGACCTTTTCAACAGAGCAGATTAAAATAATACTTTATTTAGTTGATAAGTTCAGCCCTTCCATTTTGATTGGTTCAAATCGACCACGTCTTTCAAATCAGAGGTGTGGTCAGTTGTTTACAAGAGAGGAAGACCTCTCAGAAGAGAGAAAAAGGAGAGAGTGAAGAAGAAATGACGATGAAGAAGTGATGAAGACCTCCAGAGGAGGATAAATAATAAGCTTTTAAGATGCAACCTACAGAAGACTTCCAAGGAGAAAATTAGCTTCAACTTTGGGCAAAGTTTGATAGAA